GTGCTGTTCAACAAATCGAAGGCAGCCCTGATGTCAAGAAACACTACGATTGTTGGCCTTTGGTAAGTATGGCGGTGTTCTAACATTTGGCGGAGGGTGAAGATATGATCAATACATCCTCGACCAGAACGAAACCCAGCCTGCTCCTCGCGAGTCAATCTTTCTCGGGTTTTGAACAACCTAAGAAGTATGACGGAAGCCAATAGCTTGGACGCAATCGGAAGTAGACTTATCCCCCGATAGTTGTTACAGGAACGACGTGAACCCTTTTTAAAGATATGGACAACTATCAACTCATTCCATGACGTTGGTACACTCTCTAGTTCCCAAACCTTTGTAAACAACGTCGTCAATTCCCTAGCCAGAAAGTCACCACCATCTTTAAAAAGAGCCGAAGGTAAGTCATCTGGGCCAGGTGATTTGTAACGCTTCAAGAGTTGGAGTTCCTTGCGGACTTCCGCCTCATTTGGTGGATCAGTCGTCACCGGCCATGGAGGGCAGGACAGTCTGACCGATGTTGCCGGAGCAGCAGGCCAGTTAAACTGCCCTTCGAAGAATTCTGCTCATCGTCCAAGACGTCGATGGATGTTAGTGATTGGCATCCCATCATCCTCGCAGATTGTTTCACTCACACCAGACTTCTTGCTGCCAGTGGCTCGGATGAGTTGGAAGAGCTTCCGGCAATTACCAGATGCAGCTGCTGCTTCCAACTCATTAGCACTCTTCGACCACCAGGCTTCTCGGTCCTTACGCAAGCTTTGCCCAATTTCCTTACGTAACATCCTTCGTTTGTGATCAAACTCACGGTCACCCGGAGTAGACCGACGGGCTTCAATGAGTTGTAAGGAGCCTGAAGAAACCCAGTGCTTATAAGCGGGACGTTTCGCGAACCCACAACTGACTGTACCCGCCATTTACATGGCGTCATGCAATTGCAACCAATGCTCATCTATACTTTTCGGTGGAATGGTAGCTAGCCTAAAGGCTAGCTCGGTTCGATATTTACTTGCAACAGAGGTTGCAACCAGCTTGCTAATATCAATCCGTTGATGGCGGTCATTTCGTTGTCCACTGAAAAGTAAGGCAAGACTGGCGCAGACCTAGGCATGGTCAGAGTCCAGATAGGTACTCCAAAAGGAGCGGCAGTCTTGTACACAACCACGCCTGCGGTAGCTGGTCGCGATGTGATCAATCTGAGTCCAGGCTTGAGATGCAGAGGGAGGACGCCAGGTGGCGCATCGGCGATGACTGTGCCGAAAGTTAGTGCTGGTCAGAAACAGGTTGTGGTCTGTGCACATAGCCAGCCCTATCTGTTGTCCGACCTGCATAAATGTGCGAACGTTGAAGGTAGCCAGTTTGAATGGTGCACGTGGTTTCAGAAAAACTGCTTCAGTCCTCGTATTCGGTGGTAACATACAATTTTCAACCGGACAGTGACTCGAGAGCGTTTAGATACAGTCGAATTTCCACCAAAGACGAGCCGCTGTATAAGTATAAAAGAGGGTGAATAATGTGGAAAATAATAATAATAATAATAATAATAATAATAATAATAATAATAATAATGACAACAATAGTAGTAATAATAATAATAGTATTAATAATGACAATAATTGTAATGTTAATAATCTGAATCAATTGTTTGTTTTTCAAAGCGAGAAAGGTAATTTCCATTGGCATAAAGAGTTCATCAATTTGTGTGTGGGCTGTGATACTGCCCGGGTGCCCAAACCGAAGCAGGTGGTTATCTTAGGGGACCACACCCAGAGCCTTTGACCTAAAGGTCTAACACACAAGGCAATGGAGCATCATAAGGAGATGCAGTCCCCTGGTAGCCGGTGACCAACGATTGGTTCATATGCCATTTGTTCCCGCAGGATACTAGAGCCCATGTGCACCATTGATTTGGAATCCGGTTAAAGCGCCGGACATTCGCTTTTTGTCCTCTCATTTTCGTAAACAACACCCCCGCCACGAGAAGGCAATGAGAAGGACTTCCCTGGCAGAGGCTGTATACGCATGGCCGTGTGAGAGTATTTCGAGAGGGAGAGCGGACTCTCCCCACTCTCGGCCGTACCAGGGCATTCAGGGGGCAGAGAGGCGAATATGTATGCGATCAAAGATAGAGACAAGTTTATAGTCAGATCGCATAAGGGCACAGCAAAGGCTAATAATAGGATTTAAGTACATTATAGCGACTCACGTGCAAATGGGTTTATTTTCATTTAACCCAGTTAAGCCCTTTTTGTTAACTTATTTAGCGGACAAAGCCATCCGCGCTATAACAATTTATTGTATCCTTATTATTATTTTGCGCTTGTATGAAATACGTATGCTTGAATATTGATTACTGCCTACGCATTTATTCACTCTGCTAATCTTACCACTAACCGCTTATTCGATTCGATTACTCATTCATTTCACATGGTATATATATGTCCATGTTATTCATATTGAACTCAATCACTCACTCGCTCGCACGGTCTCGTCACGCTCTTGCTCTGGCTCTCGTTCGCTTGCTTGCCTTTCGGCACAACTCTTCTATGCTTGTTTAACACATCTGTACATTTGGATATATGTGTGTGGTTTCGCAATAAACGTAATCGACACTTCGTATTTGCCTTCTGATTAATATACCGTTGGTACGTTATATAGAACGGTTATCACGACGAACTGTATACGAAGTTTAAGGATTATATCAAATACCGACCACCACAACATATGTATATGGAGGAGGATGAATCGTCAAGTGATATTTAAGCAATCAACATTTTAGCTAGTGGCCGTAATGGTACAAAGAAATATGCGAATTTTTATTATTCTGACATTTCCTGTCAAGTAAGTTAGTAAAAATGCTTGATCAAAACTAACCATGATCGAAATTGGTTATAAGATAGTTGCTATATCGTGATTACAGTAGGAATTGAAAATCTTAATTTTACTTTCGTGTATTTATCAGGAAAACAAAGTTCTGTGAAGTCTTAGAACACTACGAAACAATTATTCACTACGCTTTATTCTGTAATAGTCTATGAGTACAACAATTATTTTATCTAAAGGAAGTTAGGTTATCCCCATTAGAAAACAAAAAAACCTCATGACTAGAGTTATATGAATTACTTCGCAACCGTTTACAAACACTTTCTTCTAGATAGACGTTCTTTCATCAATAATTGTTATTTTAAAAATCATAAAGGTATATTCATTAATAATTCGGTTCATTTTCCAAATTAAAAATTTATTGATATACCACACCTGTTTTTTAAATATTCACTAAGTATTGAACTAGATTTTGGAGAGAAAAAGCCAAAATTGGGCTTCATAGAACCTAGAAAAGTGTAGCGTTGTATGCCATCCATTAATATAATCAAAAGGGGGTGTTGCGGAGATTTTAGTAATTTTATATTTGAATTCATGAATCAATTGAAGCTAGACCACCATGGAAAATTTGGAAGCACTGGGGGGTCGTTTCGTCCTAGTATGGTAGACGCTAGACATTAACACCGTTAGATGCCGGCGGGCTCAGTGATCCAGAGGTTAAGCGGCCGCACACAAGACTGACAGGTTCTTGCTCCAAATCTCGCGGGGCGGGATCGTGGATGCGCACTGATGAAAAGTTCCATACTAGGACAAAGCGGCCGTTCAGTGCTTCCAGGTTTTCCATGGTGGTCTAGTTTCAATTGACTCATGAATTCAACTATTATATATATATATATATATATATATATATATATATATATATATATATATATATATATATATATATATATATATATATATTTATATATATATATATATATATATGGTTATCAAAACCAATTGACTTATATGATGAAATGAAAATACTGATATGAAATAGAGTAGGATTGATTTCAGATTCTTAAACTTAAAGTGGTTTAAAACCTTAAAAATAGTGGTCAAACAATTTAAACGTTTCAGGTGTTCAATAGAAAATAAATATGAGATGGTTTGGATTGTAGACCACTGGACTAATTTGAAATTATTATCTCATCAAGTTATGATGAATAATGATGATTATTTGAAATACATTTTGAGAATAAAGTGAATTAATGAAACTACTTTGAGAATAATTGATGAAACATGTTGAGTTAATGAAATCTACTTATTAAGAAAGCTCAAATTGATATGACTACACACTGATAATATAAGAGTATTTCTGAAATCATTTCAGAGTTCAGAATATCTACCATTATCAATCTGCTTAATTTACTTTTGAAACATTTTGTGAGTTTCAGTCCATTCAGATTAAATGAATGTAACAGAAGGAAAATAGTTAAACATTTCCTTAGATCTCATTTATCTAACGCGAACCTATAACCGTGATTTTGAGACACATTATATTTGAGAGCTATTAAAACTCTACGGCTGTCCAAGCCTAAGTAGATGAAACGGACAGTGAACTTATGACTTCATAGTTGAAAGCCACCGCTTCACACAAAAAGATATCGGAGTTCGTATGATTTCCTTATATACAAGGAAAACTGATCGTCTACGGAAAATTACAATTATTTGTCGACAATGTAGTGCCTATTATCAGGTTAATAATTGGTTAGAACAAGTTTTTAATGTCTTCAGTAGGACTACATCTTACAGTCAAATTTATTAGTCAGACATGAAGTTATTGGGAAACCAGAGGCGGAGGAAACATTTTTCCGCAATTTCACATCTGTATTTTTTCAGCAATTCATACCCTTAGCTTACGCCCGACAAGCATGGCGTAAATTTATTGACAACAGCTTCTGATATTTTACCAAAACATTATTAAAAATATTCACGTGAAGAAACTGCTAATATGACTTTTGAATGGGATTGTATAAAAAACGAACTTACATTCATTTATTTAAGTTATCACACTATATCACCGAGTGTATTTATATGATCTTAATACGGGTATTGCAGCGAAACGCACGAATTGACAAAAAATACACTGTTGTCCCGTGTTAACTTATCTAAGCTAAAGGAACATCAAAAGACCAACTAACATGTATAAAATTATTATTTATCAACGTTTTATAATTTCAACTGATTGATCCAACACCACCACGATGTAATAGCATAAAATTAAAATCTAATACGGAAAAGTTTCTGCATTATCTATCGGCAACCAGAAATACCGATTTCAACTTTTGACACATTCAGTCGACAGACAATCCTAGATTTGTACTCTGTAGATATTGAATCCAGACTCATTTTATTCCACATATTATATACAATATTCCTTATTAGAAAATATTGCACACATATCCGTTTTCCTAATATTTCTCAAAACTTCTCGACTAGATTTTACTCGTACGATTCCCTTGCGTACAGTAGAGATGAATTTACTAAATAATATAAGAGTAATAAATATCTGTTTATTATAAATGCTAAGATATATGCATGTTATTTATGTTGGTCATATTATGGTCCTTTCTTTATCAACTGTAAATTTTCCCTCCCAAATAGGCATACAATGAAAACAAGAAACGACGAATCACATTTAAAGTGAATTCCATCTTTATGGTCATAATAGTAGTAATAAGAATAATAGTTGTATAAGTAACGAAGATACTGATAGGAGTAATAATAATGAAGAATATATTCCTGTGAATATTTATGGTGACGATAATAATAGTAACAATAACGATTCTAAAAACTAATATTTGTGTTTCTTTACTTAAATAATATAGTGAGGTTGGATAGAAAAAAACAGAAATTAAAAAAAAAGAAAGGAAACACAAATACATAATTTAAACACTACAACATAACATAGGTAAATTCCAACGATAATGAAATACCAGTTGACAAAAATTCAAACCTCAACAACGAAAATAACAACAATCACGAAAGGACAGTTGACAGTAGATGAATGCGAATTCAAAGATCTCTTCATTTATATTACCCAACACGCACTATAAAAATGTGACGCAAGGCTAAATGATCTTCATACCCATACTTATTTAGGTTATACCAGCAGGAGAACAAGAGAGTTATATATATATGCGCGCCAAGTAACGAATGAAAAACGAAGTCTTATTAAGTTACAAATAAGTAAGTTTAGATGAACTAATTACAAATGATTTATCACTATTATCGACTAAAAGATGAATAACTTGGGGTACTGCACACACAAAAGGGAACACAACTATGAAAATGACGAATTGTATAGTGTAAATAAATTTATAGAAAACTCTAGAACAGGAAAAACACGGAAAAAAACATTATTGTTATAATGAGGATGATGAAAAGACATTGTCAACAACTTTTGACAATACTGGATTTATTGTTATCTATTAAAGAAAAGAACAGAGAGAAACAACATTCCAACAACAGAAACAAGAAAGGACCAACAACATATACACAATAAACGCAGTTATATATAAAACATGAAGGAAGAAAATATTAAAGTCTAAGAATGATGGGGAACTACAGTTGTATAGTGAAACAATAACAGTTATAATTATTAACATGTGTAAGATATGAGAAAACGGTATAGTAGAGAAATACTTGTTATCCTACATGTAAATGTACATTACATATACGTAAAACCGCATGTATATATATATATACCTATGGAAACTACAGTGATAACAGAATAGAATTGATTCTTTTAGAAAATAAACGCTTCTCATAAAAAAATATGCATAAAATATCCATGAGTAATAATAGTAATCATGGTAATAATGATAATAATAATAATGTGATAATATGTGACATTATCGATGAATTAATTATAACTATCCAATTAGAAAAGTGGAGTAAAACTGAAAGGACATTTGAATCGAGCCAATAGATGTATTTTAAAAAAGTGGATATCAGCTGTGTTTATATTCATATAAATGATATGAATAAAATGAACGGAAAATTATTTTCAGAGAAAAAATATGTTTATCACATATTGTGCGGATTAACTCATCATGGACAAAAAATGCAGAAAAATTGAATGATGAAATCAACTTCATGCATAGTGAATTCTCGAAATATTTTGAGCACCTTGATCAACAACAATAACATCTCTACAATTTGATAAAGTAACTAAACCAGCCAATCGTCGAAATGACGGATCTACTTCAATTAAGTATGGTTTAAAAAGGTATCTACTTCTATTTAAAGGACAAAAAATTGCACAAGTATGTGTTTGAAAGTTTGGATCTACTACAGAGAAACGGTTGTTATTGTTACCACTACTACTAGGAACATTAGTGGTAGTGGCAGAGTTAGTGGTATTACACACAGTGTCATTATTATTACTGTTAGTAATTATGCTAGAAGATACTGTATTGTCATCTGCTTCGTGAACGCATTGTCGACAACTGGAAGTCCACAATGTTTCCGGCCAAACGACAACACCAGAACGTTGTCTATCTGAATAAGTTGCTAGGATACATTTTCCTAGTTTATCGGTTTGAATATTAGCAGACCCAGTTGGTGCAGTACTGAATGACACACCGCCGAATTGACCACGTGATGGAGGAATCCGTGACTTTGAAGGACCACTTGAATGGCGGATTTCAGATAAACTTAAACGACCAGCATTCATATATTCCGAATTTGGATTGTCATATGAATTATTCAAAACATTAAAATAAGAAGTATCCAACGAAGTTCTTGACGGTAATGTTGAGATACGAACACGCAAATAATCATCACCTGGTTGATTTGGAGGTAACAGATCAGAAAGAAAATGTCCATCTGATGAAAATATCTAAATTAAAATGAGGACAAAAGTATTATTTAATACATCCAAAAATAATTTACAATATTTTCTCAACAAGTTAAGCTTTAAAATGAGGAAGATATTGATATCACATTACACAAATAACTTACATACTATACAATCAACTACATGGAAAAACAATACTGGAGAAATCGAGTCAAGAAATCGTATAAACAAATATAACTAAGAGTAGTGAAAGTGAACAACAATGATGAAGTATTAAGGTGATCACGGGGTTACCCGGCTTTTGTTTCTAATGTTAAAATCTTACCAGTGTAGTAAAGGAGAACACAAGTGGGGATAATGGAATGTATTTGAACATAAAATTACAGAACATCTTAGTAAAATCTGAGAACCATACAGAGAATACTTGATTTGCAAAATGTTAATCAATTGTCTCAAGCTTAACTGTTCCTTTTGCAAATATCAGTCAATCATCTCAGACTTCATTGTTCCTGGATTTCCATACCAATTGCTTTCTGTTCATGTTTTTTCCTCCTCGATCTTCTTGATCTTCTGCTGCCAGACATCCTATTCCTGACTAGCGTTATATATTACTTATGTCGATATAAATAGCACACACTACACTAGTGACGGTAACCTCGAATGCTTTTTTTCTAATTTAGTTTTTCGCATGACCTATGAACTTTTCTGACTGATTGCCACTAATTTTATTTCGCTGACTTTCTGAATGCCTGAAGGTCATGCTTTTGTTTACAAGGTGAATTGTATTACTTTAAGTTATTCTGCTTGAATAGTAATTTTTTCCTATATCCCGTCTTTTTCTTATGTTTCCAGCCAATTGTTTAATTGTGTCAGCTGCCATTATCCAGTCCCAAGGACAACCGTTCGTATTAGGATAGCTTAGTCGTTCCTTAATTCTCAAGTATCTTAGACCAACCATGAACCCCAATATACCTGACCGTCCTACCAAGATTTAATACGTACGTGATTTGAGGTAGCTACATTACATTGCACTAATTCTAAACTATGGAGTCTGACTACTAGTGTTCGAGTAAAGATTTTTAAAAACCCTCGACAATGTGATCCAATGAATAGGCACCTATTTCGGTTCATGACAAAGACTGTAAATCTCTTGCTATGTAGATTCAAATGTCGTCTTCAAGTACAGTAATCCAATAACACTCAAGTATCAATATCTTTGCTCTCAGGAACGTGATGAAAGATAAATTTTCTATTACCTGTGTCTTTAGAATATCGTTGATGCCAGAATAACAAAAATACCAAAATTCTACAACTCTATCTAGAATTGTTATTAACAACCGGTAAAGGCAGTCAGTTAGTTACGTGTTTCTATTATTCTACCACAAGATTGATCGTAAAAATTATGATTATTGCAAACCTTTAATGATTAATGTTGGAAGTCTGGTGAGTTGAAAGTTTGTATTTTAAAGCAGTCCTATAGTCAAAAGTTAAGGTAAAAAAATCCACTTTTGTACGTAAATCATGTAAATTAGGATGGATGATTAAAGTATTATCAGTTTAATTAGAACTGTCTTCATAATAGATGAAAAATAGCATGATAAAATTATTTCTTAAAATATTATTCATTTACTTATAATATACATAATTGGTAAACTTGGGATGCAAAAAAAACCAAGCAGAAGGGTAGAGAGAATACGACTAAAGTAACCAGAAAAAGGGAAGGAGGCGAAACAAGTCGTCTATTAGAAGAAAAAAATGCCTAAATAATTGTCTGTTACATTTGTACTAGAAAGGCAAAAATCACACTATAACTTCAATGATGAACTGAGTTATATGATATTCTGGTTGCTAAAAGAGAAATGATGTGTCAGTAGAGATGAAACGTAATCTCATTTCATAGTGAACTAACACAACTAGTTTGAGAGACGAATGATTAGAAACTAAGCGTTATCTTAATCAACGATTTATATATGAAGTAGAAAGTTCATTAGCAGAAAATATTAAATGAACGATAGAATTCAATAAGAATTAAGGATTAAGCATAATATTGCCTACAGAATAATAATCATTTAGTTTAAATATCATAGTCTAAGTTAGTATGTCTGAATAATCTAGTGTTAACTTTACTATCTGTGACACAGATCCGAATTTCACAGGGAAAGTCACTATCTCAATATTCCAGATACATCTTGCTGAAAGGATGCTAAATCGTATCTTAACCTATCAGTAAATAGTAACATAATTTCAGATTATAAAGACTGGAAAGAAAACACTACAAAGACGATACAACAAAATGTTGACTAATACTATTATACCATTGAATAATAATTTTACGCTAGTTATTGTCAGTCAGTAACAACGCAGAACTTCGTACGTACGTACATCAGTTCGAGTTGCCACACCACATTAGCACAGAGATGCAGTGGTCGATTCAAATCCCATAGTGATAGATGTAGTAAAATTATAAGCTGTAATCAGAAAAATTAGGGTTTGAAGATGTTATTCGAGGAGTATAATCCAGAAGATTAGAATTTGGGAGAACACAAAGAGTGGATGCACCTGCGCCATTGCAAACGATTTTGAGCCATGTCATTCAGGGTCTCTAACCATCGGTTGCTATCATCTCGTGGTCCCCAACCAGGCAGTCTACACCTACCAATATGACTCAGTCCACTTGTCAGTGATTTCATGGATTTGTGCCACGTTTTGGTCAGGCCGCCCCAAGCTTTCTTCCAATCTACTTCTATACAACAAAACATTGCACTTCGAGGCAGTCGGTGGTTGGGCATACGTAACACATGTCCCAGCCATCTCAACTGATGAAGTTTCACTACTTCATCAATTGATTTGCCATCCTTACCTAGTACCCGCTTCCTAACAACTGCGTTACTTACTCGATGGTCCCAGGATATACGAGCAATATTTCGAAGACACCAATGATCAAATACTAGTAACCTACGGATATCCTCTACTTTAACCGGCTATGTTTCGATGCCATTATGTAGGACGAAACGAACTGCTGAGCAGTAAACATGTCCTTTGTTTGATAGAAGGATATCTCGTCTACTCCATAAATGACGCAAATTGGTAAAAGCTAGTCGAGCCTTCTGTATCCGTGCCTTCTCGTGGCGGGGGTGTTGTTAACGAACATGAGAGGACGAAAGGCGAATGTCCAGAGCTTTACCGGTTCACAAACCAATGGTGCACATGGGCTCCAGTATCCTGAAGGAACAAATGGCGTATGAACCAATCGTTGGTCACCGGCTACCATGGGACTGCATCTCCTTACGATGATCCACTGCCTTGTGTGTTAGACCTTTAGGTCAAAGGCTCTGGGTGTGGCCCCCTAAGAAAACCACCTGCTTCGGTCTGGGCATCCGGGCAGTATCGCAGCCCACACGCAAATAATGAACTCTCTATATCTATGGAAACTCGCTTCGAATAACAATCAAATGACTATTATTACTGTTATTATTATTATTATTATTATTATTATTATTATTATTATTATTTACCACACTATTCACCCTCTTTTATACTTATACAGAGGCTCGTCTTTGGTGGAAATTCGACTGTATCTAAACGTTCTCGAGTCACTGTCCGGTTGAAAATTGTATGTTACCACTGAATATGGGTACTGAAGCAGTTTTTCTGAAACCACGTGCACCAGTCAAACTGGCTGCCTTCAACGTTCGGTGGACAACGAAGTGACCGCCATCAACGGACTGATATTAGCAAGCTGGTTGCAACCTCTGTTGCAAGTAAATATCGAACCGAGCTAGCCTCTAGGCTAGCTACCATTCCACCGAAAAGTATAGATGAGCATTGGTTGCAACTGCATGACACCATGAAACGTCCCGTTTTTAAGCACTGGGTTTCTTCAGGCTCCTTACAACTCATCGAAGCCCGTCGGTCTACTCCGGGTGACCGTGAGTTTGATCACAAACGAAGGATGTTACGTAAGGAAATTGGGCAAAGCTTGCGTAAGGACCGAGAAGCCTGGTGGTCGAAGAGTGCTAATGAGTTGGAAGCAGCAGCTGCATCTGGTAATTGCCGGAAGCTCTTCCAACTCATCCGAGCCACTGGCAGCAAGAAGTCTGGTGTGAGTGAAACAATCTGCGAGGATGATGGGATGCCAATCACTAACATCCATCGACGTCTTGGACGATGAGCAGAATTCTTCGAAGGGCAGTTTAACTGGCCTGCTGCTCCGGCAACATCGGTCAGACTGTCCTGCCCTCCATGGCCGGTGACGACTGATCCACCAAATGAGGCGGAAGTCCGCAAGGAACTCCAACTCTTGAAACGTTACAAATCACCTGGCCCAGATGACTTACCTCCGGCTCTTTTTAAAGATGGTGGTGACTTTCTGACTAGGGAATTGACGACGTTGTTTACAAAGGTTTGGGAACTAGAGAGTGTACCAACGTCATGGAATGAGTCGATAGTTGTCCCTATCTTTAAAAAGGGTTCACGTCGTTCCTGTAACAACTATCGGGGGATAAGTCTACTTCCGATTGCGTCCAAGCTATTGGCTTCCGTCATACTTCTTAGGTTGTTCAAAACCCGAGAAAGATTGACTCGCGAGGAGCAGGCTGGGTTTCGTTCTGGTCGAGGATGTATTGATCATATCTTCACCCTCCGCCAAATGTTAGAACACCGCCATACTTACCAAAGGCCAACAATCGTAGTGTTTCTTGACATCAGGGCTGCCTTCGATTTGTTGAACAGCACTGTTCTCTGGGATTGTCTATTGAAGAAGGGTGTGCCTGAGAAGTTTATTAACATCCTAAAAGCCTTATATACAAACACCTCAGGCAGAGTGAGGGCATACAACCACCTCTCTCCATTGTTCTATTCGAGCAGTGGGGTTAGGCAGGGTTGCCCAATCTCACCATTCCTCTTCAACTTTGCCATCGATGACATTCTGGAAACAGCTCTGATGAATGTAAGTAATGGTGGTGTGGATCTGTTGCCTGGAGAAAGACTTCTCAACCTTGAGTATGCGGATGATATTGTCTTGCTGTGCGATAATGCCCAAGTCATGCAATCCGCACTTCATCAGTTGGCAATCAGTGTCCGTAGGTATGGTATGTGCTTTGCACCTTCGAAGTGCAAAGTACTTCTACAAGACTGGCAGGATCCTAATCCTGTACTCACTCTGGATGGTGAGCAGATAGAAGTAGTCGAGAAGTTCGTGTATCTGGGTAGCTGCATAAGTGCTGGTGGGGGTGTGAGTGATGAGATCAATGCACGTATAGTGAAAGCCAGAGCGGCTTATGCCAATCTAGGCCACCTTTGGCGCCTTCGTGATGTTAGTCTGGCTGTAAAAGGTCGGATCTACAACGCGTCGGTGAGAGCAGTTTTGCTCTATGCTTGTGAAACCTTGCCTCTCTGAGTTGAGGACGTTAGACGACTCTCTGTGTTCGATCATCACTGTCTCCGAAGGATTGCTGACATTCAGTGGCAACACCATGTCAGTAATGCAGAGGTTCGGCATCGTGTGTTCGGGCACAGAGATGATAATGCAATCGATGTCACCATCTTGAAACACCGACTTCGGCGGCTTGGACATGTTCTACGAATGTCGTCGCACAGAATTCCACGTCGTGCATTATTTGCCGACTCTGGGACTGGTTGGAAGAAGCGGAGAGGTGGTCAGTGCATGACATGGTGTCGTGGTATGAAAGAAAGCTGCGAAGGACTGGCTTGTGTCGGTCCTTCACGACTCCCTGGTTGGGGTCCGAGAGATGGTGCTACACAGTGGCTAGAGACGTTATCAGATATGGCTCAGAATAGAAGCCAGTGGTGATCCTGTTGTAACCTTTTTTTACTTTTTTCATAAAAAGTGGTTGTGTCTTCCTTACCTGAAAGATTTCTTCTGATTGTACCTCTCCGTTCCCTCATTTCTACCATACTACCTTACACCAACCTCTTCGTTATTGTTCCTTTTTTTCACGCTCCTTATCTTTCTTTTCTCTTCAAGTTCTCATTGTTTTGTGTGGCGCATATATATTGGCGCTCTCTTGTACCAATATTTATGTGTTCAAATAAACAAATAAATAAATAAATAATCCGTGCTGAGATTTCGTCACACACCAGACCACAAGGGCTGATGAGACTTCCAAGATAAGTGAAGCGATCGACACGCTCAATTACTTCACTCCCTATCATTAGTTCGGGTGTCAATGCAACCCAATCCTGAAGCAACATTTTGCATTTCGAGGGGGAGAATCGCATCCCGAACATGCTTGCATTGTTGTTTACGGTGGTAAGAAGACCCTGCATTTTGTCAGCATCTTCACCAAATAGAACTGTCGTCGGCATATTCTAAGTCAACAAGTGAATCTTCTGGTAGAAGTTCAACCCCTGGAAATGTAGATGAGGAAAATGTTGTCTCTATAAGTACGTCAATGACAAAGTTAAATAAGAATGAAGAGAGTGGACACCCCTGAGAAACACTAGTTGAGGTAATCAATTCTGATGACAGTTCGCCATAAGCTCTCACTCTACCAGTTTTGTTCGAGTAGAGGGCCTGTATAAGGTTAATGCACTTCTTTGGTACTCCTTTCAGTGACAAACACTGCCATAGAACCTCACGATCAACAGAGTCAAATGCCGCCTTAAGGTCGAGAAATACTACCATTGTGGGGCGTCTGAACGTATGTCTGTGTTCTAGGACCTAACGTAGTGTGAATATCTGGTCTGTACAGCCATGCCCAGGTCGAAAACCAGCCTGGTTTTCTCTAGTCTGCTCTTCACGAGCTTTGGTTAGGCGTCGAAGTATTATTGTGGTTAATATTTTAGACACTATATTGGTCAAACTGATTCCTATGTGATTGTGGCAAGAGGACTTTTGTCCTTTCTTATAAACTGGCACAATCAGTGATTGAGATCAGTCAGATGGGATTACGTCCAGTTCCCGAATTCTACCTAAGACTTCAGTCAATCTCACTGGTAATACTGGACCACCATCTTTAAAAATCTCAGAAGTAAACCTGTCAGGGCCTGCTGCTCTCCCTCGTTTCAGATTTCCTATGGCTTTTTCAACTTCGTAAAGACACGGAGGACCTACATTAACTTGCCATTCAGGTTGACTGGAGATCGTGGGAAACGGAAGTGTGGCTGAAGGCCAGTTGAACTGATCCCTAAAGTGTTCTGCCCATCGATTCAATCTCCTGGATTGAGAATTTATAATATGTCCGTCTTTTTGAGATTGTTTCGATAACAGTTGGGTTTCTAATTCCGGTTTCCTTAACAAGTCTGAACAATTGTCTGCCATTACCTATTGCCGCTGCCTTTTCCATCTCTCTTGCTTTCGCTACCCACCACTGTCCACGATCAGTGTGTAGGCTTCTTGTCAGCTTGTGCTTAAGCAGACTCCGCTCTTCATTATGTTCAGAGCCAGGTGGAATGAGTTTCCGAGCATATATCAGTGCGATAGATGCTGCTGAGATCCAGTGTTTTTCCCTAACCTTGTGGTTCACCTTACTAGCATATCACTGCTGTTTCCACAGCTTTTCTGATATCGTTCCATGCTGCCTCGGGGTGGGCATCACATACATGGCTGCCTAACTGTTTTCCTAGTTGTTCCTGAAATATACTCTTAGCTTGACTATCATTGAGCAGGCCCCTAATAGGTTTCCTTGTAGCGTCTTTCCTACGTCCAGTAAGACGCAGACAGATACGCGCTCGTACTAGAGCATGATCTGAATCTAATCATGTGCTCCAGAATGAGCGACAGTCTTCTATCGAGCCCCTCAATCGGTGGCTGATAGCGATGTGATCTATTTGGGTCCGACGTTGGGATGAATTAGGGGGTCGCCATGTTAAAAGTTGTTTTTCCTTATGCTTAAAGTTAGTATTTGCAAGGAACAGGCGGTTATCTGAGCATAGCTGCAACAGACGGTCACCATTATCTGTTCTTTGAGCCACGACACCATAAGATCCACCCAGGTGTCTTTCCCTATCGCTTAGTTTACCTACTTGAGCATTAAAGTCACTGGCCACTATTACATCCGAGCGCCTAGCTTTTCGGAGAAGGTCGGAGAGCACACGCCGATGGCGCGGGATTCTAAAGTCCTAGCTAAGGAAGCCTGCTGTCCTATTTGGCACAGTGTTCGGACGTTAAAAGCTCCTACGTGTAGTTTAAAACGTGATTTCAAGAGACCAGGAATAGCGTTCCGCGTACTCCAATCGTTTGCCCTAGCGGTGAGAGGTGGCAAAGAGACATGAGAAGGGTTAGTCATGGAGATAAGAGAGGTATTAAGAGGTGCAGGAAGGATTTGAATGTGACCAACTTGGTCTTGTGTGCTGTTACGGGTATGAGGGCTGGTGTCACTTCCCGGCTGCCCACACCGTGGAAGGGTATTTCTTGAGGAACCTGAAAAGGAATTCGGATTAATGCCGGCCTTAACGGCCTGGGAGTGTGACCGCAGAGCCCAAGAGACAACTGCTTGAGGCCGGTCGCGCACGGCCATTTTGTGGAAGGTTTTTAATGTGTTAGCTCCGTTCTTCAAAGGGCCTTACCGTCGGAGACGGAAATCCGTGAGGTAAGGTGGTGTGACATTTTTAAGGTCAGGCTTTTCTAACCCCTTCCTTCCTTGTGAGAAGGCAGATGCTGGTTGTCCGAGGGAAACGACTTACTGCTATCACTCCCTTACAGTCAGCAGTACGACTTCGCCCTCAGACCTTGAGTTGCTGCTTTTAGTCTTACCGTTCACCAATCGACCTGCCTGGCATGGTAGAACCTACAGGAACATATGTTCCAGCCAATATAGCTCGGTTGGGTCATCACGATAGGCAAGCCCGATCACCGCGTCAAGGTAGCAGCTTCGGTCGGGCTAGTTATTGTATTTACTATAAGATTGAGATTTGAAAGATGAATAGAGATCTTTAAAAAAACAGGACTTTTGAATAGATTTAATAAAACGTTAGTTCTGTAGCTATGAGGTTCTAATGTAGAAAGAACTATGTTTAAAGAAAAAACGTCTAGTGATTTGTCAATGAAAACAAATCAAATACCAATGAAATTACGGTAAAACAGAATCATATTCTTTCATACAAGTATGCATATTAAAAAATTTTCTAAAAATAAAACTCACTCGAATACACGTTCCTGTAGACAAAATCAATTCTCCAGAGTCAGCTACACACAATCCTGTGATTAATTTGCAAACTTTAGGTTGGGGCAAATGAGAACTAGCTTCGGTTCGAATTAAAGTACTGTGTCTAGTTGGAGTGCTTGCATCACTATCCGCATAAACGGATGTAGTATTTGTCCCAATAAACACATCCACAGAGCAGGTTTCAGGGTCACAAACAAAAACGCAACCAGCTCCATTATCAGCAATAAATAAACGACTAGTTAAGGGACATCTGGCGATACTAGTTGGCTCCTTGAACAAAGGACTTGACACGGATGAAAGTACCTAAAAGGAGAGGGAAAATCACAAATAAATCGCATTATTAAGCTAAACATTAAAAAATACCGTTCAATAGTAGAGAGAGATTGAAAAGTGAAAATTGTGGAATCACAGATATAGATAGAGAAAAAAATGAACGTAACTAAGTTATAGCTACTGATTTCAAACTATATCACCCAAGGCCTAGGAACCGTAGATTTTAATTACCACACGGATCCTAATATGGAGGTCTATATGTACCGCTCCCTGTGCCATTTAAATAGGCCATCAATGAATTGATTGAAGTTTTATCCTTATCCGAACCTCCTTAACCTCCCGACCAAATTCAGTGCGAGCCAGTACAGAGCACTGAGGGAAACAGATGCTGAGTATGAGTACCATGTGTTCCAGAAACTTCAAACGGTGAAGGTTTGAAGCGTTTTCAGTCTTTTTTTATTTCTACCTAAAACCCTGAATATACATAATATTACTTAATTAGTGATTCTAATAATGCCGCGAATATATTTACAACTAAATGCCTGGAAATTACCAATACATATACTGAATGTCACATAGCTTTGCATTTATGAGGTGATTGAAGGCGATCAGTAAGAAATTCTGAACCCGGGTTTCGTCTAACCTGGTATTCGTTAAGAGTCACCATTAATCTTGGGTGAATTGGTATTTCCATTCAGATCCGAACCCTGATCAGTAAGTATTATAGGGTAAATATCTTAGTCTTACAGGAGGTCAACCACGACCCAAAAAGCCCCGGATTGTTTGTAATCGGGGTTAGAATACTATAGAGAATATCAGTTCTTCTAAGATCCCAGATGCCTTTTACTGACAAGTGCTAACTAGAACAAAAACTAGGTTAGTAGTATCCTGCTGACTGTTTCTAACTACAGAAAGTTAAAAACACAGTACCTGAATACCCAGTCTTTTAGACTGGCGGCCACATTGCAGATTGATGAACAGGATTTGATTAATACCATGAATATGGCATTAGTTTATTAATCAGTTTAAATCCCCTCCTGTTTGTTTAAGATATACCAATAGAAGCGCTAACGTGGAAATATCTATAGCACGGTAAAGATAATGAAATCGAAGGTTCTCTTAAAGGTTTCCGTGATGTAGAAGCTATACACGTTTATATTAATTATTAAATTGTTGTGAGTTAGGTATTTAATGTCCTTTGAGCAAAACGCTAGTATTGAACTCTTACCTGTTCAGTAGCTGGGTCTAACAGGAACAGTTGCTTAGCCCGCCAATTTACAATCCATAAACCCTGAGGTGACCACACCATACCAGTTGCAGCTTGACCAGATAATGGTTCACCGGTCACAGTGGTATGAAGTGAACCATCTGCAGGATTTAGTACTAACAGACGGCTATTGCCTGTATCCAAAACGTAAATGAAATCACGAGTTATTGAACAATCATTTTGTGTAGCATTTGATGAGGCTTCAGAAGGACGAACAGGATAAGGTCCAAAAGCTACAGCGAACGGTTGAATCAATCCTCGACCGTCGGAGCCTATTTCACGAATTGAAGTAAAAATTCTTAATCATTAAAATATATAAAATAACTTGAAAACCAATAACTATTAAAGAATGGTAAAATATAACTCTCCAGAACTTTATTTGATATCAGGCGCTTGTAGAAATCTTGTACATCTATAAAGAGTAAGGAGGTCAATGTAATGTAGACAACAAAGCTCTACCTTATTAAGCTATAGAGCATAACATTACGCATAGACCTTATTAATTCACTTCAATATTGAACAAAAATGTCCGATATTCATATCACAAAAAAAGAATACACACTCACATAACATAATAAGGATTACATGCAAAAAATTTGTGATTATCTTAATTGTCCAACTACTGGATCACAAACAAATCCATAATGATTGCACTTATGAGTCAAGTATTTTACAATCGACCATTCATACATTATTAAGAATATTGACATGTAAATGGTTTATAAACTTCTGATGAAATTAAAGATATTTTTATTTTAATAATTGAATTCGCGAGTCCATTAAAGCTAAACCACCATGGAAAACCTGGAAGCACTAAACTGCCGTTTCGTCTTAGTATCAGACTCCTCAACAGTGCTCATCCACGATCTCACTTTCGGGAGCTAAACCCAGGACCTTCGGTCTCACGCGCGAAAGCATGACCTCTAGACCAGTGAGCCGGTATTTAATGATGTTAATGTCTAACTTCAACTAATCCACGAAATTGCGCCACCGTCAACTATTGTCTCCAGTGAGTTAGTATCTCACAATGGTGGATGAGCACTGTTGAGGAGTCTGATACCAGGATGAAACGGCAGTTTAGTGCTTCCAGGTTTTCCATGGTGGTCTAGCTTTAATCGACTCGTGAATTCAACTATTAAATTACTACAATCTCCACAAAACCTTTTTCTGTAACTGATTAATCAAGCCTAAATCCGTAGACAATTTGTTTATAAGGAGATAATGATATTATTTAGGAGCTCAGACAAAAGTAATTGGAGTAAAGTTCGGAATGGTAAGTTATTGGATAGCATTTAAGCACTTTAAACACTAAATAAAGATTAAGGTACAACCCATGCTTAATTTTTTTCGTAAAATGTTACCTTGTGGTCCATAATCAAAGGTGACATTAATAAAAACAACAAAACAACATAGACCAGCCAAGGATAATAATTACTACAACAATGAAATATATATTATAATAAATAATAAAACAAAACTACTACGAAATAATGAAAATGTATGTTTTCGAAGGAAAACATGTTAATTTAGACTATAAATTCTTTAAAAATGATTACTTTTGACAACGAAGGAACGAAAGCTACCTGCTTTTCTATTTAACAAGTCTGTATTAGCAAGATGCAGTTCTAACTACTTCATGCTCAAAATGTAATGGGCCGATTGGTTCATTTACAACCAATCAATCATAACTGACAGGTCGAGAATATACCAGAAGCTTCTACAATACGTTGTATGTGATACCATGTTTCCACTGCTCTATCTTTCGTTGCTCAGTTCGATTGGGATAACTATTGTTCCGCCTCAATTCTTGTTCTCATTTAGGACGAGTTGAGAAAGGTATAGTGTTCAAAGAATACTAGGTAGTACAGAATAAAACATCTAGTCGATCTGAAGGCAAGTAAAACCTTGATTAAAAGATTCATTAGGTCCATAAGAAGGGGACTTATTTAGATGTTCAGTAAATATTTTCACAGTATTCTTGTGAATTTGGTAACAAAAAAGTAAAGTACAATAATAAGCAAACCGAAAACAAGACAATAAACTTTATAAATAGGAAAAATGAAGGATATGCAGCGCGAAGAGATCGAATACAAGGAAAGTCAAATCGTGAGAACGCAAGCTTCAAATGTTTATGTTGTGTAAAGATATGAAAAAACGTCCTCATGAAAGTGACTTATAAACTGAAATAATTAAGCATATTGAGTTGCACGAATATATCATGGATTAACGATATCAGAAATGAAAAAGCCTATGTAGGGATTTCTTTATCGGACTATCAACTGAACTTTAGGTGAGAACGTTAATTAATCAACCCAAAAAGTGATTCAGTATACTCCAAATAGTATGATACCAAGAAAGTATTAGCATATACATAAACAATAATAATACGTGAAAAAATTACCTTCTTTTAAAGACCAAATACGTTTTTGTGTTGGTTTTACATGAACACTGAAAGGTGAGCCACGAATTGGTCTATTGAGAATTTTTACAGATAATTTATGAAGACCTGAAAATGGGGTAATCATGCTAACCTCGTAGCAACCATTTCCAATGTCTAATATATCAGTTGGGACTAAGTGACCTCGTGGTTCTGTAAAAGCAACTTCAATGGGATCTGTTCCACTGTTTGATTGAGGACGACCATGATAGTCAACTGCTTGAATAGTGCACTAAGAATAAAAAAGAACGCAGTGCGACATGAACAATGTATTCACTTCAAAACAGATCGTTAAAAAATCCCTCTCAATGAAGTTGTTTACAAAAACTGAACTGTATGCTTTGCTTATGAACAAATGTTAGAAGTCAATATTTTTTGAGAGACAATAAATGAAATTATCGTACTTAGTGATTTGAAGATATAATAATGTCGCTTATGATGTTTTTTGTAAATAAATATTTTTGTTAGGTATGGAAAATGTACAACTAACTGAAATAATTTCTATGCTCCAGACCACAGGATAGATGGAATATCCATTTGATAGTGCCTGCAAAAGAACATTCTGCCGTATTTTATACTAACACGATTTCAAATGAAACTTTAATGATCTTCTATATAAGAAAACCATTCTTCAGTATAATCACTTCAGGAAGAATATAAAAAATTAGGCGTAAACACCATGGAAATCAAGTAACACAATACAATAGTTGCTATCTACTTATCAAAATAAATGAATGATTAAGACTTGAGTAGATCGTAAGGGGATTTCAAAAATCAAGTTTTCTGGTATACTTTTACTAGATTATAATCTTTGATCATTTTGGTCTTATATACAGTAGAAAGGATTGTATACATGTTTGTAAATATCATAAGATCAAATTATCAAATTTCTGAGTTAAAAAATAAACTACCTTTGAAAACAACCTTAAAGAAAGCTCAAGTTTTACAACAGTCGATTGACTTAATAAAATCTTAGCTGTTATGCTCAAATAAGGTCACTTTAAAAATATGTACAAATTAACAGACCACAAAAATGTCTTTGATCTTTAGTCTTAGAAAAGAACACAAATATTACGTTTGTAGGTTGAAACTGTGCTCAGATTTTTTTATAATCTTAGCTAAATTATTCCAACTTAAACATGTACGTATCCGGAAATTCGAATAAAGGAAATAAACGAAATTTTTTAATAGAATAGTTTTATCATGTACAGGTCGGTCAATTCAAGTCAACATAAACACAGTAACAGTTCAGAGATGAAGATAAAAAAATGTTTCATGTCTGAAATTATTTATAATTTCAATGTCTGGTTATGTATGCTTGTTCATCAATAGAAACAGAGCTGTCCTACGGAAATTGTGACTAGTAAAGAAGGAATTTTCAGGTGTCATAGATAATGACAGGAAATATTGGTGTGAGGAAAGAATGGTAAATATAATTTCTGGAATGTTTCTAATTCAATAATAGATTGAACATAGAGCATAAGGTTTGCTACAAAATATAGAAGTGTAGAGAACAGACGTAGTAACACTTATTACCCCTTGATTAATGAAATCTATTGAATAAAGGAAGGCTCCAGCACTTAACACAAAACAACAATTATCGATCGTATTTAAATCATATTTCACTTACCGATAGGAAAACAAATATTAATAAGTCTGGTGGTTCTTTTAGGGTACTGGGTTAAATTTCGTGTGCACAGAGTAATCAATAGTCTAATATACGGGCGAAACAGCTGCTCAATGCTTTTTAGTTTTAAATAGTTTCCCACATGATATCGGTTTTAGTGAAAAATATCTCTAAATTATAGACTCTTTACAAACAATCTCTAATTTGTCAATAATTTCTGTTTGGTCACTAGTGATTAGCCTTAAAATAGACCTCTAAAAGTTGTAATTATAAGCTTTAATCTGCAAAGTTAGCGAAGTCGAAAACGAGATAGTAACGTGTTGATGACAAAAGTTTTATAATGCGAATCAATAAAAGCTCACAATATGGACCAGTAGATGACGAACTGGCAATCGGAAGGAAACGTGGTTGGAACTAAATTCGAAGGTCATTGCTAATGTTTGGTGCAACTTATTTATCGACTACATGATTTATGTGCTCAACTGAGGCACAAGGTTTTTGTGAGGGCTGGTGATATTACCTGGGTACGTAAAGTGAAGTAGATGGAATGGTGTTCGAACATGTAACCTCCTGGTTGAAAGTCGAGTAGCTTCACCACTGAGCCCCACCCCTACTTAGGATTAAGTCTGGATGTTGTAGACTTAATCCCGTATGGGGTAGTGGGTCCACGATACTGACCACAGTAAAACCATAAACAAATAATTTTCTAGTGTATTTCAGTTTTTACTGGCCTTCTGTCTGGCATAGTTCGCAGTGAAAAATGTAGACAAAATCATCCTAATACGACAGCATATCATAAACGGTCATGCTACCCTTACACATGCCATCTACCTACATACTGCTATACCTGGAATTTTTTAAAAGGAAATAACTAATGTTTTAAAACGTAAGAATAATCCAATTACTTTTCTATTCACGAAAGCGATAAAAATCTAGACAATAAGCAAGGTAGTGTGCGAATAATATGCGACTAGCCTTTTCAAGTATACTGACAATGACAGGTTTAAGACTAAACGTGTTATCAACTAGAATAATTATGAATAGCACGATAAAGTATCTCTTAAATTGTACGAGTGAAAAGTTTACCTAGATTATAGTCATGAAAATTGCTAGCAATGAGATGACAGCTTGATTTTTCAGTTATATAGAAATGAGCAAAAGCGTTTTGTATTACGTGGAACAATTATTGTGTATAGTGTAAAATATTGATGATTTAGTTTGATCCAAGTGATAATATTGTCAAGATTATTCTACTATACAGAACAAAATGTTCATAAACAGACTCAATAATTTTATTTATTTATTTATTTGAACATATAAATACTGGTACAAAGGGGACCCGAATACATATGCGCCACACAAATATCATTTGATATGTGTGAGGGCTGTGATACTACCCAGGTACCCAAACCGAAACAGGTGGTTTTCTTAGGGGCCACACCCCGAGCCTTCGGCCTGAAAGATCTGATCCACAAGGCAGTGGAGCAACGTCAGGAGATTCAGTCCCATGGTAGCCGGTGACCAACGATTGGTTCATACGCCATTTGTTCCTTCAGGATACTGGAGCCCATGTGCAGCCTTGGTTTGGAATCAGGGTTTTCCAACTCCCCTAGGTGGACTCTCCGTGTCCACCAACCCAATCAAAGCTCTGGACATTCGCTTTTCGTTCTCTCGATTTCGTAAACAACATCCATGCCACGAAAAAGCAGTGAGTAGGACTTCCCTGGTAGGGGCCATGTGAGAGCATTTCGAGAGGGAGAGTGGACTCTCCCCACTGTCGGCCTTACCAGGGCATTTGGAGACTCAATAATTATATTTTAAGGACAATTGTATTTTCTTAAATTATGAGAAAATGTTACAGAAGGAAAGAGACGGAAATATGAAATAATAATAGGAATAAACATTTGAATATCAGTTTCATATTTCTTATCTGAACGAACAGAACGTTTGTCTGGTATCCAGATCCCGGAAACACCTTTATCTTACATGACTTTTAAGGGATTGTTGTGTCTTCAAAAATGAATACCAGAATTGTTTTAGGCCGCGTGTAGTTGGGCCCTTTATTATGAGATAAGTCATGTTATTTGATCCGATTACTGACTTATTCGCTCACATCTCCTGTAAAACCGATAACTTATTTCACCACTCTAAAACGGCCAGAACCTTAATGCCTATTAGTCTTCGAGATTCTTGGGTCCAGTGCCCAATCAAAGAACGAAGGTTAAACACAGATTAACTCGCTATTGTACTTAATTCATTTATTACTCAAAACCCATACACATAATACACCTCAAATGCCTGATTGGATACCAAAAGAGATAAGAATTTGGAACGTGTGAACAATTCATTCATAAGTGATATAAAAACGAAACAATTATTCAATAGGTTAAGCTTTAACAATAAAGAAACATAACAACAGCTTATGGGTCAGACAAACGCTTACAAATATCGGAATATAAAAATACGAATGTCCGGCGCTTTAACCGGATCACAAACCAATGGTGCACATGGGCTCCAGTATCCTGAGGGAACAAATGGCGTATGAACCAATCGTTGGTCACCGGCTACCAGGGGACTGCATCTCCTCACGATGATCCACTGCCTTGTGAGTCAGACCTTCAGGTCAAAGGCTCGGGGTGTGGTCCCCTAAAAAAACCACCTGTTTCGGTCCGGGCACCTGGGCAGTATCACAGCCCACACATAAATAAAATGAAAATGATTATATTTACTGAAAATTCTATTCTCGCTTCGATTTACAGTCAAACAATTCACATTATTATTATTATTATTACTATTATTATTATTATTATTATTATTATTATTATTATTATTATTATTATTATTATTATTATTATTATTATTATTATTTACTACGTCATTTATTCACTCTTTTTTATTCCCATTTTATGTATCCTTATTTTTCGACCTATACAGCAACTCGCCTATGGTGGAAAGTCGGTTCTACCTAAACGTTCTCGAGTCACTGCCTGGTTGAAAATTGTATGCTACCATCCAAATACGAATGCTAAAGCAGTTTTCTTGAGACCACGTGAACCATTCAAACTGACCGCCTTCAACGTTTGCACACTTATGCAGGTCGGACAACAGATAGGGCTGGCTATGTCTTTGGAAAGTCTTAATATCGACGTTTGTTGTCTATCCGAGACCCGTATTCAAGACTCTGGTGAAGTACTACAAATTCGCTCTCTATCTGTCACTTCAAAAAGCTTGTTTTACGTGCGCTTATCCGGGGACCCTGTGGCATCTTCGTCTGGTCTTGCTGGCGTTGGTGTCGCACTAAGCGCTAGAGCTGAGACAGCATTAATCGATTGGATCCCCATTAACAGTCGGTTATGTGCTGTTAGATTAGAAAGTTCCATCAAAGTGAGAAGAAATCGGCGTGAGAAACGATGTCTTTTCGTCACCTCCGCCTTTGCCCCGACAGATTGCAGCCCGGATGCAATCAGGGATGAATCCTATCACCAGTTAACTGTTCTCCAAAAAGTGCGTTCGACAGATATTGTAGTACTAGCCGGAGACTTGAATGCTCAGGTCGGGCGTCTAGGCACAGAAGAGAGTCGTTTAGGTGGCCTATGGGGACTAGTTAGTCGCGGGACAGATAACGGGGACCGTCTACTGCAACTGTGCACAGACCACAACCTGTTTCTGGCCAGCACTAACTTTTGGCACAGTCATCGCCGATGTGCCACCTGGCGTCCTCGCTCTGCATCTCAAGCCTGGACTCAGATTGGTCACATCGCGATCAGCTACCGCAGGCGTGGTTGTGTACAAGACTGCCGCTCCTTTTGGAGTACCTATCTGGACTCTGACCATGCCTTGGTCTGCGCCAATCTTACTTTACTTTTCAGTGGACAACGAAGTGACCACCACCAAAGGATTGATATTAGCAAGTTGGTTGCAACTTCTGTTGCTAGTAAGTATCGAACCGAGCTAGTTTCTAGGCTAGCTACCATTCCACCGAAAAGTATAGATGAGCATTGGTTGCAACTGCATGACACCATGAAACGTCCCGTTTTTAACCACTGGGTTTCTTCAGGCTCCTTACAACTCATCGAAGCCCGTCGGTCTACTCCGGGTGACCGTGAGTTTGATCACAAACGAAGGATGTTACGTAAGGAAATTGGGCAAAGCTTGCGTAAGGACCGAGAAGCCTGGTGGTCGAAGAGTGCTAATGAGTTGGAAGCAGCAGCTGCATCTGGTAATTGCCGGAAGCTCTTCCAACTCATCCGAGCCACTGGCAGCAAGAAGTCTGGTGTGAGTGAAACAATCTGCGAGGATGATGGGATGCCAATCACTAACATCCATCGACGTCTTGGACGATGAGCAGAATTCTTCGAAGGGCAGTTTAACTGGCCTGCTGCTCCGGCAACATCGGTCAGACTGTCCTGCCCTCCATGGCCGGTGACGACTGATCCACCAAATGAGGCGGAAGTCCGCAAGGAACTCCAACTCTTGAAACGTTACAAATCACCTGGCCCAGATGACTTACCTCCGGCTCTTTTTAAAGATGGTGGTGACTTTCTGACTAGGGAATTGACGACGTTGTTTACAAAAGTTTGGGAACTAGAGAGTGTACCAACGTCATGGAATGAGTCGATAGTTGTCCCTATCTTTAAAAAGGGTTCACGTCGTTCCTGTAACAACTATCGGGGGATAAGTCTACTTCCGATTGCGTCCAAGCTATTGGCTTCCGTCATACTTCTTAGGTTGTTCAAAACCCGAGAAAGATTGACTCGCGAGGAGCAGGCTGGGTTTCGTTCTGGTCGAGGATGTATTGATCATATCTTCACCCTCCGCCAAATGTTAGAACACCGCCATACTTACCAAAGGCCAACAATCGTAGTGTTTCTTGACATCAGGGCTGCCTTCGATTTGTTGAACAGCACTGTTCTCTGGGATTGTCTATTGAAGAAGGGTGTGCCTGAGAAGTTTATTAACATCCTAAAAGCCTTATATACAAACACCTCAGGCAGAGTGAGGGCATACAACCACCTCTCTCCATTGTTCTATTCGAGCAGTGGGGTTAGGCAGGGTTGCCCAATCTCACCATTCCTCTTCAACTTTGCCATCGATGACATTCTGGAAACAGCTCTGATGAATGTAAGTAATGGTGGTGTGGATCTGTTGCCTGGAGAAAGACTTCTCAACCTTGAGTATGCGGATGATATTGTCTTGCTGTGCGATAATGCCCAAGTCATGCAATCCGCACTTCATCAGTTGGCAATCAGTGTCCGTAGGTATGGTATGTGCTTTGCACCTTCGAAGTGCAAAGTACTTCTACAAGACTGGCAGGATCCTAATCCTGTACTCACTCTGGATGGTGAGCAGATAGAAGTAGTCGAGAAGTTCGTGTATCTGGGTAGCTGCATAAGTGCTGGTGGGGGTGTGAGTGATGAGATCAATGCACGTATAGTGAAAGCCAGAGCGGCTTATGCCAATCTAGGCCACCTTTGGCGCCTTCGTGATGTTAGTCTGGCTGTAAAAGGTCGGATCTACAACGCGTCGGTGAGAGCAGTTTTGCTCTATGCTTGTGAAACCTTGCCTCTCTGAGTTGAGGACGTTAGACGACTCTCTGTGTTCGATCATCACTGTCTCCGAAGGATTGCTGACATTCAGTGGCAACACCATGTCAGTAATGCAGAGGTTCGGCATCGTGTGTTCGGGCACAGAGATGATAATGCAATCGATGTCACCATCTTGAAACACCGACTTCGGCGGCTTGGACATGTTCTACGAATGTCGTCCCACAGAATTCCACGTCGTGCATTATTTGCCGACTCTGGGACTGGTTGGAAGAAGCGGAGAGGTGGTCAGTGCATGACATGGTGTCGTGGTATGAAAGAAAGCTGCGAAGGACTGGCTTGTGTCGGTCCTTCACGACTCCCTGGTTGGGGTCCGAGAGATGGTGCTACACAGTGGCTAGAGACGTTATCAGATATGGCTCAGAATAGAAGCCAGTGGTGATCCTGTTGTAACCTTTTTTTACTTTTTTCATAAAAAGTGGTTGTGTCTTCCTTACCTGAAAGATTTCTTCTGATTGTACCTCTCCGTTCCCTCATTTCTACCATACTACCTTACACCAACCTCTTCGTTATTGTTCTCTTTTTTTTTGCGCTCCTTAGCTTTTTTTTCTATTTCTCTTCGAATTCTCATTGTTTTGTGTGGCGCATATATATTTGCGCTCTCTTGTACCAATATTTAGGTGTTCAAATAAATAAATAAGAATTTAATAACCGCAAAAATACAAACGATAATTTCCCGTAGGACAGTTCTGAAAGTTTAACCCTACACAAATCCTCTTTGATACGAGTTTTTATGAACGGGATTTTTACTGTGAAACTCAGTGAGCATAATCCCTACCAACTGATGATATGCAGTGATACGAAACGGATGAGTGGTGCCTGCTAATGAAAACGAATGACTAACACAAGCCTCCAAATGATTTTAAATTAAAAACGGTCAGGAAAATAAATATTTTTATACAAGAAAGTTTCATGCTTATATACAAAGTACACTTAATAAATTATTATAAACGATTGAAAAGAATTTAGTAGGTCACTCGCTCTTGAATCACTTAATATCTTTTCCCATTGTATCAATAACCAGCCGAACATGTCATCATCGGACTACAATATGACATCTTTGAATAATGCAATCAGTCAGTCAGCTACAACGTAGGGCCAGGCACATATATGCATCGGTCCAAGTTGCCATACCTCATTAGCGCAAAAAGAAGAACACCGAATTCATAGAAATAATCACTTCAATGGTACTATTGTATAAAAGAAAGATTGTGTATAAGAATATAGTACAGGAAGAAAGAATTATTTCGTAGAAAGAAAGATATAAAGCAATCTTAATACCACGATTTGAGGGAAGATAGATAGTGTATACACATATGCCATTGTGATCGATTCTAAGTCATGTCACCCAGAGTCTCCAACCATTGGTTACGATGGTCACGCGGACCCAAATCAAGTAATCTGAATCTACCAACATGACTAATGCAATGCATACGAAAATATACGTTTTTACAAATCTTCCTCAGTGTTTTAAAAGTACCTTGAAGATGGATGCTACCATGCAAGAAAACTATGTCTAGAACCTACAATTAACTGTAAACAAATACTTGGAAATATTGCTGCATCATTTAAGCTAGTGATTATATATGTACTAATACGATTTACTGACCATAACTTATACTGGCAAATAATGGTAAACATTAATCACATTTCCTACAACAAATCTGTGATTATCAGTTTATATAGATAAAACGCAAAGTCATATAATAAAAGCATGCTAAAAGAAAAAATACTTACTTTAGTATACAGATGGGTAAACATTTCATTTGGTAAACGAGCAGTACATAATGCAGGGTAAGTTGTACTAACAACTAAACGACCAAAGCCAGCAAGACAACGAGCAATATCAGGAAGGCTAACTTGATGAGGAGAAGACTGAAGAGTTGTTGAAGAAGACACATTCGATCTTTGATGATGATTACGATGATAAGATGAAGAGGATGGTGAGTCTGATTCATTATAATTTGTAACTGATGGGGATGATGAACATATGGTGCGTTTCGAGGCAGTACAACACATGTTTATATGATTATGTTGATTGTATGGACCGACACAGTCTTGATAACAAAGGAAGGCATTTTCACGAGGTTCAGTTAAACCACTAATCGAGTCCAATTTATCATTCAGGTAACTTATTGTTTTTGTAATACTTCGTACATCCATCTGAAGATTGAAAGGAAAGTGCGAAAAGTACACGGAAATATTATCACATTAAAAATTATGCAATTTATACGTATAAACTTGAGTAAATTGATTGAAATTATGATATATGGTAAAACCCATAAACAAAACGACAAAGAGCGACCTAAGAGAATGAAACTGATAGTTGTTAGACATTAGCCTAAAATAAATGGAAAGTTAACGACTTTTCGTTATCTTGGCTCCGCCAACCAATGTATATGAAGTAACTTTTGAAAAAACATATCTCCTAGGTTTCATAATTATCCATAAATTAGTGATCTACTCGGTGAAAAAAGTTTACTGGTTAACTATGCGGTCTTCTGAAACTTAATTAATTAGAAGTTGAACTTAGTCATTATTTGACCGACAGTATGTTACACCAATAGAGTGGTAAAAATCCGATCAACTTTATTCATCAGACATTTATCAAATCGAAATGGACGAATAAATAGGGTATAAAATTTGAAGGAGAAATATACAGATGATAGTTTTTACACTTACAAAAGGAACAGAGGAAAGTGAGAACCGATTTCTATTATTTTGACAATATTATTATGAAATGCCCCCAAATGCCCTGGTATGGACAAGAGTTGGGTGGACCCGCCCTCCCTCTTGAAATGCTCTCACATGGCCACGCGTATACAACCTATGCCAGGATGTTGCCTACGAAAATGAGAGGACGAAAAGCGAATGTCCAGAGCTTTAACCGGATCACAAACCAATGGTGCACATGGGCTCCAGTATCCTGAGGGAACAAATGGCGTATGAACCAATCGTTGGTCACCGGCTACCAGGGGACTGCATCTCCTCACGATGATCCACTGCCTTGTGAGTCAGACCTTCAGGTCAAAGGCTCGGGGTGTGGTCCCCTAAAAAAACCACCTGTTTCGGTCCGGGCACCTGGGCAGTATCACAGCCCACACATAAATAAAATGAAAATGATTATATTTACTGAAAATTCTATTCTCGCTTCGATTTACAGTCAAACAATTCACATTATTATTATTATTATTACTATTATTATTATTATTATTATTATTATTATTATTATTATTATTATTATTATTATTATTATTATTATTTACTACGTCATTTATTCACTCTTTTTTATTCCCATTTTATGTATCCTTATTTTTCGACCTATACAGCAACTCGCCTATGGTGGAAAGTCGGTTCTACCTAAACGTTCTCGAGTCACTGCCTGGTTGAAAATTGTATGCTACCATCCAAATACGAATGCTAAAGCAGTTTTCTTGAGACCACGTGAACCATTCAAACTGACCGCCTTCAACGTTTGCACACTTATGCAGGTCGGACAACAGATAGGGCTGGCTATGTCTTTGGAAAGTCTTAATATCGACGTTTGTTGTCTATCCGAGACCCGTATTCAAGACTCTGGTGAAGTACTACAAATTCGCTCTCTATCTGTCACTTCAAAAAGCTTGTTTTACGTGCGCTTATCCGGGGACCCTGTGGCATCTTCGTCTGGTCTTGCTGGCGTTGGTGTCGCACTAAGCGCTAGAGCTGAGACAGCATTAATCGATTGGATCCCCATTAACAGTCGGTTATGTGCTGTTAGATTAGAAAGTTCCATCAAAGTGAGAAGAAATCGGCGTGAGAAACGATGTCTTTTCGTCACCTCCGCCTTTGCCCCGACAGATTGCAGCCCGGATGCAATCAGGGATGAATCCTATCACCAGTTAACTGTTCTCCAAAAAGTGCGTTCGACAGATATTGTAGTACTAGCCGGAGACTTGAATGCTCAGGTCGGGCGTCTAGGCACAGAAGAGAGTCGTTTAGGTGGCCTATGGGGACTAGTTAGTCGCGGGACAGATAACGGGGACCGTCTACTGCAACTGTGCACAGACCACAACCTGTTTCTGGCCAGCACTAACTTTTGGCACAGTCATCGCCGATGTGCCACCTGGCGTCCTCGCTCTGCATCTCAAGCCTGGACTCAGATTGGTCACATCGCGATCAGCTACCGCAGGCGTGGTTGTGTACAAGACTGCCGCTCCTTTTGGAGTACCTATCTGGACTCTGACCATGCCTTGGTCTGCGCCAATCTTACTTTACTTTTCAGTGGACAACGAAGTGACCACCACCAAAGGATTGATATTAGCAAGTTGGTTGCAACTTCTGTTGCTAGTAAGTATCGAACCGAGCTAGTTTCTAGGCTAGCTACCATTCCACCGAAAAGTATAGATGAGCATTGGTTGCAACTGCATGACACCATGAAACGTCCCGTTTTTAACCACTGGGTTTCTTCAGGCTCCTTACAACTCATCGAAGCCCGTCGGTCTACTCTAGAAAGCACTGGAAGGCTATTCCGTCATATTATAGAACTCTTTAGAAGTGAGCCGATCCACTGGTTCAAAGGCTAATGGGTCGCCAAGAGAGTTGAAATCCCAAGGTCCCTTCACCAGTGCGGTCGTGAATACACACTGCTGAGTCTCGCACTAAAGTGAAGCAGCTGTCCAGCCCTTCATATTTAGCAACTGTTGTCTAAATACAGTTGGTTTGCAATGTAGACCATCAAAATTTGACAATCCTCATAAAACAAAACTACATAAAAAAATAATAACTTATTAATATGCAAAAGTAGTCTTACTGCATACATTTCGTTCTTGGTGACTTACATTAACAACTAATACTATAACTAAATAGCGATGATATTAGTCTATATTTATTAAGTCTACTTCGTCTTTCTGTTTGCGTTTTAAACAAAGAAAGAATAATTTCTATGACATTTGTGAATTTTTTTTGTTCACAGGATTACAGTTAAATCACCTACTTTTTATAACAGTTGGACAGAACTTCTTGTCCTTATACAACCGATTTAAAAATTTGTAAATGGTAATTTCCCGCTATTTGATAGTATGGCAGTAAATTGGTGTCGCAGACCTTTCCTTAAAGTCGCACATGTGCACTAAAGATATTATGATGTAGACATTTTGGGTAAGACAGTCAGTCAGTCAACCAGTACCAACGAGAGATTTAATATTAGTTCTAGAACCCACATCTGGCATCACATCGGCACGGTGGGAAGAAATTAACAAGATAAGTATAAGATGGGGAAGTAATATTGAAAGCAATAGAAATCTGGAAATGTGTTACACAGTTCAAGAGGAAAAAGTATTGTAGTGAGCAGAACACCAGTGGGGACAATCGAATGTATTTGACACAAAATTACAGGACTTGTTAATAAAATCTAACAATCAAATAGTAAATATGTAATTTGCAAAATGTTATTCAACTGTCTCATAATGACTCAGACTTCATTGTTCTTACATTTTCATACAAATTGCATTATGTTCCCATTCTTTACTGTTCGATCCTCCTGTCTCTCTGCTTCCAGACATTCTGTTCACGAGTAACGTCATATATTACTTATATCAATATAAGTAGCACACACCACAGTATGACTGAAGATTCGAGGTAAGAGATGACAAGGAATGTTGATGAATTCTGAAATACAGCCTTGCAAGTAAATATCATCCGAAAGGTAAAGATATGAAATAAGTCGACCACTAACTGATTTTTATGACCGTAGTTATAACCTTGAGATAAATTATAAGTGATTCTAACCAATCAAGTGAACAGTCTATGTAATTCCTAAAGATTGCCAATTCAAATTAGATGTCAAAAAAATGATATGATGAAATGAACTAACTATTTTATTCCTAATGACAAAATAATAAATAAGGTGGTCAACTTTTTAACTTATAATCAAATACTGCCTAAAATGATACGATGTATGTACATGAAAAATAAACCAGAATTTCTGTCAATCATGTTTTATACAGTTGACATTTATTGTCAATAGTGTGGATAGTATGTTTATTCAGTTACGACCTTTTCTGTGCTAACATTAGACTGAAGGATGTCTTAGTTAGCATATCCTTTAATTAAACAAGCTTAGGTTAAGAGATGTGATTGATATTAGCCTTAATTTCTCATCACATGGCTCACAGTCTAGTCCATGAACGTTTAAGTAATAGCGAAACTGATTTACTTAGAAGAGTACCTACAGCCTAGTAACCTAATGCAACGTTAGATGCAAAAAATAGTGGATGTTATTAAGTGTTAAACAATCGAAAACAAACAATTCAGTCAAAATGACTGGTCAACCAGTAAATTTTAACAAGAACCGAACAGAATAACTGGGGTATTGCTAGTCAGTAAATTATGAAACAATTAAACAAAAAAGGATTACTTACAACGCCCTTTAAACGATCACATTCTGTACGAATTAAGTCTCTTTCTGTTTCAATTAAAGAAAGTTGATCTGTTAAGGCACGTCGTTTTTCTTCTCCAAGTCGTTTCACACAGTCTAATAATTCTCCTTGACGATGTTCAACGAGTGCCAATATCTCAGAAAAACGTGAGTTAATAGACTAGAATGGATGAAATAAATAATAAGGGACTACGTATTGAAGGAACTAAAAAATGTAATATAATGAAATGTGAAAACATATATCTATGAAGAGTGATAACAATCAGAAAGAGAGAAACAGCACTGGCTGACATATTAACTCAAAAGAATGATGATTCATCCTAAAAGAAGTCATAAATCGACCATCCATCTGTTTTATAACTAGTTTGTACCAATAAACAATGATTGATATGATAGTCGGTGAGATAATGTGAACAAAAGCATACAGGTTACAGAAAATGCGCTGTAGAATGACATCATTTATGAAGAAATTATCTCCACTGTCTTTAAACATACACCATATAACTTTAACATTACTTTTATGCTGATATCAATGAATATGAACTGAACTATAATGGCATCCGAAAAATTACGTTATCCTAGAACTGCAACGTTTTGAAGACGTGAAACTTTGAAAAACAAAGCGTTACACTTCTGATCATTAGAGCTCAAATTGACGTTACAACTGTATCGAAAAACAGCCTATATTGGCATACACCACACTAGCTTTGTTAAACGAAAATTACTTGAGTGTTTTACAATAAAAACAGCAATCATACTACCTTAAAACACAGGCTTTTTGACTACTTACAACGACATATCAACCAATCTCACTATAAGTGAAAAGATATTATCCGCATACTTGATATGGAAAATTGTTCCGAAAAGTAATAAGTTTATGTTGTTACTATAATTCCATCCTTTGTCAATGATAATTAACAGCACCTACATTTAAATCATATGATATGAAAGGGAAATATATCCCGAAGCATTCGAGAAAACTGCAGCCAAAAACCAAATGAAAAGGGTCAGGGTTATCCATACAGCTTAATGTTTCCAGTGATTATGCCAAGAATTATATTTGGATTTTCTGCCAGCCACTATCACCTTAAAACGTTTACGAGCCGAATTCAGATTTAGAAAATTATGAATAGAAGAACGAAAGGATAAACACAAGATTAGGTGTTGATAACAGAAAAAAGTTTTAGGCAAGAGAAAGAAGGAAAAAACGAGAAGTATAAGAATTAGCAAATATATTTGTTGATCTAACTTGCCATAATTCATACAGTGATAAAGAAAAAGAAAAGACGGAAGTGATCATATTAACACTGTCAGAGGACCAAAACGAACAACACAACAAAGTATATACAATAAGTACGATGGAGGATGGATACGTCCGAACTTTTAAGACTGATGCCCAACCTTAGTGCTTGAAGTTTACAACTACGGTTAATAATTGGGAAACGGCTACCTGACTACATTAGTTAGATCAATGGTCAAAGGATTCATGAACGCATATTATGTTTTGGCCAGACCACCATTATCCATTTTCTAACTCAATACTAAGTCGATCAATATAGTACGGTGAGTGATGAATAGTTTTTTTATTATTTTATTGTCTTATTTACCATGTAAAAGTTCGTTTACTTGACTTTGAGTCCTACTGTTAGTGTGTGGGCTAGTGATACCAACTGATTGTCCAAACTGAATTAGGTGGAGCGGTGTCAAAACCAGCTAATGAAAGTCAAATCCCCTAACCACAGAGCGAATGCTCCACTGTGATGACTGAATTCGGATTATAAATGTCTCGAAACATACATTTGATTAGGCTTCACAATCTTATTAATTTTATTTATCACCTTAACTCAGCACTCAACCCTTAAAGTTACTGTTGTTCAATTAAACATTCCACCGCCCACAAATGCTCTGATACGGCCGAGAGTAGAGAGAGTTCGCTCTCCCTCTCGAAATGCTCTCACATGGCCCCTACCAGGGAAGTCCTACTCACTGCTTTTTCGTGGCATGGATGTTGTTTACGAAATCGAGAGAACGAAAAGCGAATGTCCAGAACTTTGATTGGGTTGGTGGACACGGAGAGTCCACCTAGGGGAGTTGGAAAACCCTGATTCCAAACCAAGGCTGCACATGGGCTCCAGTATCCTGAAGGAACAAATGGCGTATGAACCAATCGTTGGTCACCGGCTACCATGGGACTGAATCTCCTGACGTTGCTCCACTGCCTTGTGGATCAGATCTTTCAGGCCGAAGGCTCGGGGTGTGGCCCCTAAGAAAACCACCTGTTTCGGTTTGGGTACCTGGGTAGTATCACAGCCCTCACACATATCAAATGATATTTGTGTGGCGCATATGTATTCGGGTCCCCTTTGTACCAGTATTTATATGTTCAAATAAATAAATAAATAAAGACATTCCACCATACCCAGTCAGGATTTATGATTGAGTACATGAAATTAATGCATACTATCCACCGCAACCAGCTGTTTGACAGCCAGAATGTAAAACTAGTTTGTGCCAATATTATCTGAAAAGACAATGACAGCTTTACGATTAAGCCACTCAGCTCAAACGATATGAATTGACAAAAACTATACCCTTGAGCTACAAATATCCACTATTTTAAAGGTAAATTATTCAGGTGTTCGCTTAGCGCGGTCAACAATAAACCTTTCCATAGAAATAAATTCAAAACGAGACTTCTGTTAAACTAAAACCGACATTGTAGACGTTTTATTGTTTCAAGTTGAAAAGAGTTGACAGGACAGAAAAAACTATTTTATACCAGCAAAAGTAAAATTCAGACGTTATACAGCACTAATATTACGCATGATACATTCGTATTCGGATTGATTGATAGTCACAATACACGAGCTAAAGTCTCATTTAAATCATTAAGAACAGGTATTTTTTATATTACTGAGTTGTTTGTGTTTAATTAAATAAAGGTAAAATACAATGTTATGGCATTTGCATCATAACATGTAGACACTAAAATGAATGTTCATGAAGAATGAAAACTAGTTAATTATAACAAATTTTACTTATAAATTTAAATTATTTCCTCATAACCCTCAACAGCTAGAGATTCATTTTATCCAACACGAAGTTAAATGTTTTTCTTTAAATCTAACGACTTACTTCAACACATGAACTAGTATTATTTGTTAAACGTTCTAGTTCACTTGTTACGGCTTCTTGAGCACAATTTAACTCTTGAGTACATAAATGCATTTTATAGAGCATAATTTCTGAACAACGTTTTAGTGCAACGTTGAATGTGATCACATTATGATTTAGGCCAGTATTCGACGATGAACTTTCTACTTGTGTAGTAATATCTTGATTTCCATTGTTCACTGGCAAACATGATGAGTCTAAAAAGTTAACAAATTCATTTAAAGGAATCAATATTCTTCATTACCATTCACATGATTTTGAACAGCATGATTACGACCTCGGCATTCACTGCAAAATACCATATCACAAGTCTCACAAAATAATAGTTCTTGTGATGGATGTATACAACATTTAGGTACAACATCTCGACGATGGGTAGCAAGTAGGTCTAATAACTGATTTACTATAAAAGCCGGAGGAAATGAAGCTGCACCACCTGATGGAATAGCAATATTCTCCCGGCAAATTGGACAACGAAATGTCTCTGACTGAGTCTAAAAAAATAGACATAAATTCAAAATTACTTAGAGAGTAATCATTCTTCAAGTTGTTTTATTTTACGCCGTATGAAAAAATGTGTGAAAAACAGATTCAAACAAAATTAAAAATTCAAAGTGATTTTATCGCAGTTAATAGTTAGTAGATAATCACATGTGAGTATTTTATACATCCGTAGGGTTTTATTAACAGTTACTGAACAATGAAGATATGAGTCCGTATCAAACTAATAATCTCGCAATATTACTTTTAAATCCTACTAAATATTTGGAATTAGGGATACGAGATGTCATCCTCTTCATGACAATCAACAATTAAGCACCACAACAACTAGTTACTGATTAGCATTCAGTGAACACTAATTAATACTTAGTTGATACAATTCACATGAAAATCATAACGATAAAATAAGACCGAAATAAGGGGTATGACGTTAACAGTAAAAAGTAAAGGTCCGTATTAACGATTTATTTTCCAATACGACTCATCGTCGTCAGACGTTAAAAGACCCAAAGCATGAAAGCTGAATACTTGTTTACCTAGAAGATTAACGGCAGTAATCCTTATAAACATTTAAGCAAGCTGAACTTTTTCACGAAATTAGAGCTGGTGAGGTTCCTCTAGTTTGGTAAGGAAATATTTGCAACACGATAGTGAACTCTATAAAACGAACATAAAATTATGATCCTCGAACAGAAACATTTCCTGGATCAGACAGAGGGCGATTTCAATTGAGACGAATCTATCAGTGAAACCTTGTGCTGAGGAATATGAAATTCCAACCTGATGGTGTAGAAAAGCCGTATGGCTGAGGATATTTCTTACAACACAGATTATGCTGAAATATGACTAAATGAAAAAGCTATATTAAAGGCTTAGAGTATGAATAAAATTACTGGAAGTGACAGCTAGGACGTACTTCATTTGTAAGGATTCGATCTAAACATGAACGGCATATTGTGTGTGAACAAGGTAATAATTTGGCAGCACGTTCACTTGAATTATAACCACTGAAACACGTACCACACGTCAAAAAATTATCTGCGAAGTCGTCCACATTAATCATAACAGTTTCCACTAGACGGGATGACATCTAAATATAACAGAAACAATTTTTTAGCAGTAGTGAAATATCATACCCCTAAATAAAAAATTAGTGAGATTAAAAGCTCCCTAAAAGTTTTCAAATGATTAGATGAGTTGACGAAAGTGAATAAATCAAATGATAATTTACAAATTTATTTCATCCGACTACTTTATTATTTCCAGTCCTAATCCCCTTACATTTCTAGATGTAAGTTAATCTTTTCAGTATTTGCTAAAATGAGCAAAATATAAGGATCAAATGACCATGTAATCCCGATGGGATTCACAGGACCACAACGGTGGGTAAGGTCGATAAGAGGACTGAAAGCATGGTCTCTAAGAGGAAAAAAATGAAGCATGTTAAAGGTATCACCTTTTACTCAATGTTACTACGGAAGGATCAGAAATCATTTCACGGAGGTGTCATGATCTTGAAGGACCAGTCCTAACAATCAAACCTTAATTGAATGGAGGGAGACCTACGAATTAAGTTTTCCCCATTATCTGAGACATTTTGTTATAGTTATTTTGTGACTACTATACAAATAAGCATGCCACTTCTTTACAAAGAAAGCCTATTCTTCTGGCTAATGTCCTTGTCACGTTACAAATCATTCGGAGGCGTGAGTAAACTATGTTATCGTGAGCATTCATCGCTCAGACACACAGTACCATTATGTTTTGTCTACAGACCACTATCCCGCTTCCTGATTTTAATCACTGAATCTTTAGAATTCCACACCATAACTAACTTATATCACATTTAGGTTTAGGTGAAGTCAGTAAGCATAACTGAGCTTCCACAGATTAATTTATGTTTGACTACAATCTTATTTGACTGATGTTCACCTACTTTGATCTTAGAGATCAGAAGAATTTAAAACTACGTATTATCATTGAATTTTACTGAGGAATGGATTTAATTTGCAATTATTTATTTCCATTGAATAACAACTCATCTACAGCTCTTTCAAAGTTATGAACTCAAAAGCTCGGCAAAATTATCGACCAATAGTAGGATTTCTGGCTCCCAAAAATCAAGTTCAACATGTATCTTAAAGGTAATATTTGCTTACTATAACCAGTTGTAATATTTAAGGGTTTCGTTTTTAGCCAAAGCTTATTTATTTAGTTATTTGAACACAAACATTGGTACAAGGGGGCACCAAATATATATACGCCATATCAGTCAAAGCTACTACATTAGAATTACTTTGAGACATGTGAAAACATTCATAAAAACGATGCACTTTTCAGCAAGATATCGACCATTGGCTTAACATGTACCAAGCATACAAAGTACATGGAAGTTAATGTTGATCAATAATCGACTAAAACGTTTTCGTTTATTTACAGTGAGTAACAGACTATACCTTGCCTTGCGATTTATAAAGAACCAACTAACTTACGCAACCAAGATTTTGAAGGAAAATACCTTATTACCTGAACATACTGCAGAAGGTACGAATGTGTATCTTTTGGGTTTAGTACAAAACTCACAAACTAAAAAATAAAGTCCGGAGCTAATGATCAAACTGCCTGTTAATGTTCCTTTACTCACGGTACGATCACAGAGTTAAATGACGTTGTGGTCTTTTATGAAGACATACTAGTGAGAAATTCTTTAATATAAACTCAACTGCTTCACACAGTCAGATTAAAAGTTAATTTGGGAACAGCAAAGTTTTAAAAACTCTGTAATCTATATTATATGTTAAACTGGGGTCGGAAGCCAAGATAAACTTAAAAAGACTGTACATACCATTGATGAGGTCATCTCCTAAGGGACAAACCCATACGCAACAAGCCAATCAGGTTAACGAGAACCAAACAACCCGCAGTAACAAACAGTGTCCAATGGAAATCCTCTAGATTACGCGGTATTTTGCATTTAATTGTACGGATATGACTGAATGATTTTCTGATCAGTACAACCTAACGTTGCTAACCGTATGTATGTTTTATTATAACTCCGAATCGCAATTTCTTGGTTAGAACTCTATTCTATCCTACGGTTTCAGTTTGGAAGTGACAAGAGGCTATGTCCCTGTATTAGACCTGGCAATGATGGTCTCTCAGTTGATCCAACTTTCTTTTGAAAGAGTTGACGGATGGACCTTCAATCATGTGTTGAGGTGATGCATTCCACTCGTTGATGATTCGATGGGAAAGTGAATGATCGGATTCAGATTAATGTAGTAAGGACAGAAGGCCTACAGCCTATGTTATTCCTTTTCTATTATGCCTCTATGAGTTTCCAGTCTTCTCTTGAACGAGTCATTTGGAGGTGCGGACACCACTGCTTTGGGTAACAGGTTCCGAGGATTGATGACTCGGTGTGAAAACCTGTATGATATGGGTATTTTGATTGTTTCTCTGAGATGTCCCAATCTAGTTGGAGGAAAAAGAGTAAATATCCTAGGTCCAAAATCATTTCTTAGTATTTTATACATCGAAATTATACCTCCCTTTAGTCTGCGATAAGACAGAGTAAAGAAGTCCAGCTTTTCAAGCCGCTCTTCGTATGGTAAGCCCCGTAGTTTTTTAATTGCTTGGATAGCTACCCTCTGTACTTTTACCAGGATACCCGAGTCACCTTTTAAACAGGGGCTTGCAGTATAAATGCAGTTCTCAAGCCTAGTTCTCACTATGTTTGTGTATACTGTAGTGAATATAGTAGTATCTGACTTGGTGGATGTCCGTTTTAAAGCCCATAGGGTTCCAAACCCCTTAGCTGCAATCATCCAGCAATGAACCGTGGTCTTAAGATCATGACTCCCTGTCACCTCAAGATCCTTATGAGGCCGGACCATGGGTACAGGCGCTTCCTTTATGCTGTGCCTATTAATCTGTGTATCCCCAAAGTGCATGTAAACACATTTCTTGCGTTGATAGGTATCAGCTTCTCTTTAGACTAGTTAATCACATTATTTAAGTCTACCTGAAGTGTACATGCATCTTTTTTTTACGTCGTCAGCGTATAACAACATCGCGTACTCAGCTATACTTGAGAGTTCATTTAAATACAGTACAAAAAGTAAATGACCTAAGAAACAGATTCCTGCGGAACTCCGCTAAGTACTGGTATCCAGTTGGGTACTTGGAATTCACTCTTACTTTCTGTCCATGATCTACCAGGAAATCCTTAAGCCATTTTAGGAGAGGTCCGCTAATGCCAAGATTTTCTAACTTCAAGGACAGTCTATTTGTTTATACCTTATCACGTGCTTTGCTGAAGTCTATGTAGACATCCACTGACTTTCCATTGATCATTTGCTATAAGGAGGTATGTTACGCAAGATAAATTTTCTGAAACCGTGATGTTCTCTGTTTAACAAGTTGTTGGTTTCCACAAATATCACTATGGTCTTTCTGACTATTCTTCCCAGTATTTTAGCTGCGACACAGGTAAGGCTGACAGGTCTATAGTTTGGTGGAAGTTGTCTTGGTCCTGTTATATATATGGGAGTGACAATTTCATCGTACCAGTCCATAGATAACACACCTTGGTCAAGTGATATATTGAACATCGCAGTTAGTGTGCAGTTTGTCTCAGGATTTTGGGATGTAGTTCATTCGGTCCTGTTGAATTTCCCGTGTCTAAAGTGCTAAGAGCCTTAAGTCCACGGTGAGCAGACGGTTTGTTGACTTTGCATTTGGGTCTAGTTCTTCATCCAAAAGAGGCTCCTCAGTGAAAACTGCTTATTCTTGATCACCTTCTATCATTTCAGATCCACTCCCTCACTTAATTAGTTTGGGAATCCCATGCTGCATCCTTGTTCTGTAATTTATATACGGCATTAGTCTCTTAGGCTATTTGAGTGAAGATTGTGCCAACTGCATTTCTTATTTTCTCCGAGTTTTCCGGATTCTAATTGTACACTTCTTTTTTACCGACGCGTAGAGTTCCATAGTACTCGCTGTGCCAAGTCTGATGGCAACGTTCCAACATTTCCTTTGTCCTAGTAAACGTTGAATATGGAGGTCTATCCGGGGTACATATGGTTGAGTTACCTGGTTGTATAACTGCCTGAGATGAGTCTATGCCTCTTCTACTTATGCCCCTAAATCAATAACCCAGTTTTCAGCTGATGCTGCAGAGTTTATCGCCTCCATATCTGTATTCCATATGTCAGGACAAGCCGGCGCAACTGTTCGACAGGCCATCTCAGCCATAAGCTTGAATAAGATGACTTCATGATCACTTCTCCCTGAAGGTGATAGGAAAGTCATTTGACCGACACCATCACCGTATGTGAAGACTAAGCCCAAGAGAGACGAGGAGCTCCATAGGTCATGTCTGGTGGGATCTCTAATGTGCTGTAATAAAGCTAGTGCAATTAGGATTTCTAACAGTTTGCAATCAACTGACGTTATCGACGACCCTACTTCTAAGTTTACCCAGTTAAATACGGTGCATTAAAGTCGCCTACTATAAGGCTTTTACTCACATTACACCAGGACTTACATTTTTTTAGGACAACGTCATCCACCACACATTCTGCACTGTGGTATACTACAACTAATTCAATATCTTGCAGTCTACATTTCAGCCTGCAGCGCACCGTACCCCATGTCCCTGAATCATGTGACACTGTTTCAACAGTTCGTATGGCTAAGGTACTTTTTGTGTATAGGATAACGTCGCCTTCTCTACGGTTTAATCCTGAGGTTAATCATGTTTCGAAGACAGCAACAACACCCGGATTTTCTTTATCCACCATTGTCTCGAGCTCCGCCATTTGTGTAGCACACCTTCAATTTGTGGAGAACTTTCCCCTGCCATCCATTGTGGTATGAGGATTGTTTTGCTCCAAAAATTTACGACTTGAAAACCCTTAAGTACGAGGTTTCTTCCACCGTCTCGGTGGCGCTCACTTATTTCTACTTCTGCAGCTCATCTATTAATACACACAACCAGGCTGAGATCCTCACAGACGTATATTTCGGATCCAACCAGTTCGCGTGAGGTTCCTAGAATCAGGTTTCATACTTCAACCATAGCAAAGGTAACCTTCAAGAGGCGGATTTTCTGAGCACTTTCAGAATCCACCTTTTCTCTTATTCCATAAAGCTTACGGATGCCAAGCCCCGTGCCTGTTTCTAGGGGTAGCTTGCTTATTAAGGACTTAATATGAATAAGACCGTGCTCAAATCTGACCTTTGATTCCTTATCGGAAGATTCTCTTAACTTATGAAAAATGACTGGCCTCTCAGAGAGGTTTGTCTTGGCACGCTGTGAAATTTTAGTTCCTGGAATAGTCTAAACCTGGAATTCGGTTTTTGGATATGTCATACCTTACAAAATCCTCAGTATTTCACAATCCGTTGGAAGACATTATTTCTGTAAGTACCATTTTACAAGCTTACAAGTTATGGACTGTGGGTAAGGTATCAATGCAGTGTTTCTATTGACTATAGTATAAAGCATAGTTTGCCAATCAGAGTATAAGCATTAAGAAGGATATAATGTAGGGTAGTTGTTTACTAAAGCAGGCGAAAAATTATAGAGGTACATGAGTCGTAGATAAGGTAACGAGTGAAGAAATAATATTAATTACTAGTCAGCATAGTGTACCAGAGAGTAGAGAGATAATAAATAATAAACAGGAAAAAACTCACACTAACTTGATGATGATGTTATTTTGTGTTATCATAACCAGTTGATGGGTAACATGCTCCATGGATGCAAGACCACTGGTAGTAGGCAGTCGATTGCGGTCCTCTTGAGTTTTTAGGAAGGTATTGAGTGTCCCTTAGCAACCGAGTTTAGTTGAACAGTATCGATAGGTTCAGTGAGTTACCTGTCTACCTCAAGTGAAGAAATAGGGTGGAAAAAGTAGCTAATACAACTGCAAAGTAGGAAAAATAAGGCAAACTGAACTTGATGTCCTTTTTGGTCTAGACATGGAGAGAGCCTATGATGTCTGAGTGGAGAGCAGATGTGTTCGTACGTGCTAGATCAGTGCAAGTGAGGGCTTGATCAAGGAGTTTTACAAACGTATGTAATTCATCTGCCATGCGTATTTTGGAGGGAGGACTGTTCCATATTATTGCATGCCTGATGAGAAAGAAGTTTTTCCGAGTTTTCGATCTGTATTTCTGAACTTTGACGGTAGATACTGTGTTTCGAAGTTCGTATCATTATTTTGAACTTCTCGATATTGGGATTTTGTCCCATCAGTGCTCAGCAACCTAAATCTATCACACATTCTTCTCCCCTTACAGAGAACAGTGCGAACCTTCCTACTGAACCATGGTGGAAAGTTTCTCTCACTCCCTGGTGTGGTCCGAGGAATGTGGGGTGTGTTAACTTTGAAGTACTAATGTCGAAGTGCATCCCAAGCCTTTTTATTTGGGGACTCCGGCTCTATTGTCCAATTCACTGACAATGCTGAGTGTATAATATGTTTCATATTTGCTTTCCAGACACAAAGTCTAGGTTGTGCCGAAGAGTGCTAGTTTTTGATAACTACATGAAGGTTAAACTTTAGGACTGCGTGATCGCTTTTACGTATGGGTGGCATGTAATCGAGTTTCATGACATCATCCTCACAATGGGTCAATGTAAGATCTAGTCAGGACGATTCAGAGTCCGGGTCGTACGTAGTCGCTTCTTTCACATATTGCACTAGGGCACATGTATTTGGACTTCATCTGTGGCGGGAGGACGCTTCTTCGAAGGATACACAGCAACACAGACAATATAAGTTAGAACTCTACAGTTAACACATCATTTTCTGAATTCAGTATTCTAA